CGCTTAAGCAAATAAATAAGAAATATTATAATGCACGACTCTTTAGGGGAAGTCATGTTTCAACGGTTACAATGTCTACTTGGGTGGTTTTATGTCTGTGCACACGAAATCGTTTCCTTTTTCAGTTTAAAATGAAATCAAATGTTAAAAATATCCAAATGTGTACTATTTCCGTAGAGGAACAATCTGTGGCTAATGACCTCATGTTATAAATCGTTGAGGTTAAAATATCGATATTTTGAATAATCACCACACCTTCTAAGAAAAGCTGAGCATATTGTCTTCTTTGCTTATCGTAATGTCGTGCGGTATGTCGCCCAAAACGCGGTTTATGGTTTTACTAAATATTTACGCTTGAGATAAAATAGGTGATAAACGCCTAGTGCTACAAACCGCAGAAGATAAGTTAATAATGCAATTTTACAGGATGTAAGTGTCTATTATAGAAAGTGATGTGATATTATTATAATTGTTTTAAAGTTGTTTTAAAAATAAAATAATGGTTGCGCAATTTTATAGAATAATATTGTTCGTATGGCTATATCGTTACTAATATATCCTATACTGAAGGTCTTTGAAATGTGCATCTACCAGAGAATTCTGAAGATTTCATGAACATCACATACCTCAAACGAAGAAGTGCTGCAGAGAATAGGCAAGGAAAAAAACTTTTCAACAGATGTGGTTAGAAAACAACATACTGCGTATACGTATCAACAACGAAATAATAAGTACCAATATGTTCAATAATAAAAATAAAGAATGGGAAAATATATTACGAACCTATTTGAAGATCATAGGAGTAATTCACATCTTAATATTATTAACTGCGATGGCCCCTAATAACACACTTTGTGCTAACACAAGCCATACAATCATCAAAAAATGGCAAAGCGACAGATCCTAATGAAATTCCAAATGAAATATAAATACAAGCTTATAAATGATAGCAATGTTTCAGAGGCTATAACTTCGGTTTTCAATATCATTTATACCAGCGACACCTATCTACCTAACATGGTCAGTTTGCAATAAAAAACATAACCGACAGGAACTTGTAAATAACGAAGCAATCCAAGTAGCCAATTTAGGGCAAGTTAACTTAGATGCTGAGCAATCACAGTCACTGTCAGCAATAAGCAGAGCAATGGGTGTTTCATCTTTTACAGCCTTCCCAGTCCTCCATAAATTTTAGTTTTATCCATACAAAATAAAACTGGTACAAGACATAAATGAAAGAAGGTTTTGATTGTCGTCTCGAATTTTGTGATGAAAGGCTCGAAAGCCTGTAAAAGATGAAACACCGATTGCTCTGCTTATTGCTGACAGTGATTGTGATTGCTCAGCATCTAAGTTAACTTACCCTAAAATGGCTACCTGGATTGCTTCGTTATTTATAAGTTCCTGTTGGTTATGTTTTTTTTATTGCAAACTGATCCTGTTGCTCTAAATTTCTGCATCAGTTCAATCACATACTTATAAGTTGCATGTCTATTGTGGTGTGTTTCATTAAAAATTTTAGCAGCAGCTCTTGCACAATTATTATTTTTGTAGTATAAACCTACAATCTCGATTCTTTCTTGCAAACCATTTCAGCGATCAAATTGCACACGTATCAAAATAGTCTATACAAGTTACTTATAACAATTTGTCATTGGCTATTAACCGATTCAAATGAATGTGAAAATAATATCAAAACCTTAATTAATAAAACTTTAATTAAAAGTAAAGTTATTTGTTTCTTGGTTTTTGAAGGTACTACAAATAGTACGTTTAATTATTTAAAAAGTTTAAATTATGCTACAACCTATTTTGTTACTCAATTAAGGTGAGAGACATACTATCTTGTTAAAAGAAAAATTGTGCATTCATAACACATTTAAGCAGTGTATTACATTCTGAATCAGTACAAAAGTAAATCCAAATAAATAAAAAAAGCGGAAGTACTTAAAAAAATAGGGGAGTGAGATGATGCATTTCTCAGCAACTTTACCACCTCTTCCTTGGTCTTTCAACACTGCTTCAACTATTGGTGATTTATCTCTTAATATTCTTACTGTCCTATCTTCTGCCATTCTGCTAATGTGTTCGTTCCATTCCTATTTTGATTTTCTTATATTCTTAGGTGTATTCTCATCTATTCTATTTCTAACAGTCGTTTCGTTTTAGATGTATCGGATTTGGTCTCTGCCGGGTATGTCATTATAGGTCTAATTTTTGTTGCATAGATCTTGGCTTAGATTCTTGTTCTTGTCTCTTGTTCTACAGACTGTATCCTTAGGAGATCATGACTTTATTTGTTGTCGAATTTTTTAATATCTCCATAGCTAGTTAAATTCTGTTTCTAGATATTTAAACTGCATTTCCTGTCTCATTATTTTACCATCGATTTCCGTAGTTGGTGGCGAAATACGATGTTCTTTTCTCCACAATTTGAGGGGTAGAGGTTTCTTGGCGTCTTCCGTTTGGTTGGAATCCAATCTTGTATCCGTGATTTCAGCCTTCCCTTTGAAAGTAGATCTAGTAGAATGTAAAAAAATATATTTGAATTAGGCTGTAGTTGGAATTGGGCGCCTGATTAAAATGAAAATTTACTTGTTTCCTTAAGATACTAAAACTAATTAATACCAATGCAGTATATAACACTACCTAGGAGATTTTATTGTTCTCTTATTTTATCTTTTCATCCATCTTAGTTCTTGTTAGTACATACTTAACTATATTTAAAAAAGAAACGAACAATATTTTTTCTCAATGTCTTTTTTAACCTTAATATGGGTTACTTAATATATTACGCTGATCAAATTATATTGTTAATGTCTTTTTTCTCTTACTACTGACGTTTACAGCATATCAACACCTACATACATAGTTTTTCAGCTGTTAGCCTCAATTGAAGTTGACGTTAGCAGCGTGGGCCATAAAAATATTAGTAGTGCCAAATAAATTATCGTAGTTAATTTAGATTCCTTTCACTTTAACCAGAAACGGTATGTTCATAAAAAGTGATGGTTTTTTATTGGGTTTCATTGATTACTAAGTCGTAGATCCGAGCTTAAGGACAAAACTTCACAATTAAATTCCATATATCGGCAAAAGCATCAAGGTTTTATTAAAAATACTTCGTTCAATGAGTCTGAATAAAAATATGTGATGATGTACATAATATAACGATAAAATACCCTGTGGCAGCTTAACACTACTATCAAGACACAAGCTCTTAAGATAATCTGTTGTTATTCCTGAAAGCTGCATTTGGGGTATTAAAAACTATAATTATAGCAATTATTTTTTAATTACAACTGAAATTAATAAGTAATTTGATTAAATTTGTTCACAACAAATATTTACTTAAATATATTTATTCTAATTTTAAATCCGGAAGTTTACTTAAGATTTTCTTAAATAACAGTAATATTAAGCCAAGCCACTGTCAATAACTGCTATTAATAACCCATTATATCTTAATTTCTACGAGTACACATAGATAAAGAATGACTAAGCAATTTTTCGATGATAAATAGAGTGGTAGGTCAGTAGCTATATTTCATTATGTAATATTTTCCTTTGCAGATTAGTCGTTTGCTTAAACAAATGCCGATCATTCCAATCTCCTTCATTTGGTATCCATTACTGACATAATTTTTGTATATTTATCCTTTAGTTTCTTGGAGTATTGTCGTCGTCTTCTTCCTGGCGAGAATTATATTACAATTTTCTTAGGTTATCAATGTTTTAAAGTTAAAGTTCTATCATATATCATTTAAAGTTTCCCTTTACAATAATGTGAAATATTCATATTGATAGTTTAGAAGACAAAAACGGACAGAATATTAGAAATCAATGAAAAGAATGAAAAAACTACATTTCTGAATTGTTTGAAGATAAAAGAGTACACCGAGTACACCGAGATAGGTCCATCTATGACAGAAAGTGAGGTTACATAGGCAATACAAATGGCAAACAATTAAAAAGCACTTGGCCTCGATGAAGTAAGTACTGAAATACTAAAGATTTTTCGGGGGAAAATGGAATTATAGCACTGTGGGATCTCTTTAACAGAATTTATGACACTGGGATATTACCAACTGATTGGTTTAAGTCGACATTAAATTTATCACAATACCAAAGAAACATTGTGCAAAGACATCCAGTGATTATTTGAAAATAAGTCTGATGAGTCACGTTTTGAAGATCTTCCTACGTGTAATACATAGCAGAATATACAATATATTAAAGGAGAGATTAGCAATTAGATTTAGGAGTGTATTGAGTACCAGAGAAGCCTTGTTCAGTATCCAAGTTCTGATCCAGAGATGCAGAGATATCACTCAAAAAATATACTGTAATATATACTGTAATAATATACTATAATCTGTGCAATCTGCTTTGAAAAAGCTTTTGACAAGGTCTGACATAACAAATGCTAGAAATATTGAAACCAGCTGGACTGGACGATAAAGATTTACAAATAATTACGAATTTCACTGGCATCAAGTGGCAAGAATACAAGTTGAACTGTCGTCGGATGAAAAAAATATAAAAAGAGAAGTGAGACAAGGCTGTAGACTATCACCTTTATTTTTTAACTTGTAGTCAGAGGAAATATTTAAGGAAGCCTTAATGGAGACAGCAGAAGGCATTAATCTGAATGGTGTAACCGTGAACAATATTAGACGATACCTTTAGTGCTGACTAATTGCTGAGAAGACCTTCATAGTCTAATAAACAAAATACCGTGATCTATATGGATTAAAACTCAACCTTAAGAAAACTTAATACATATATACTTAATAGCAAACAAAATTGGACAAAATAAATAAACTGATGTATCTCGGCAGTAATATCAATGGGAGCTGGGATCCAACCTTAAAAATTAAAAACTGAATAGAACAAGCTGACTCGAATATGGCATAATACTGGTGATTTTTTATTATTTAACTTATTTATAATCATACAGTCGTATTTATCTACTTGAAAACAGTACAGAAAGATTAACAATGAGTTCTGGTAGCATTTGTTATAAGTGCAATCAACCTGGTCATTTTGCTAGGGAGTGCTCACAGCCAGGAAGCGGTAGAGATTCTGGAAGAGGCTCTTTCAGTAAAAGTTGTGACAAATGTCACAAGTGCAACAAAATGGGTCACTATGCACGTGACTGTAAGCAGGAAGCTGCTCGTTGTTGTCGTTGCTATGGGGAAGGACACTTTGCCAAGGATTGTATGCAAAGTCCAGATATGCCGTCCTGCTACAATTGTAGAAAACCAGGACATATTACTCGCAGTTGTCCAGAAGCAGGTGGGGACATGTCCTCTAATGACACTTGCCACAACTGTCAAAGACCAGGACATATTTCGAGAAATTGCCCTGAGAGCACAAAAATATGCTACTTGTGTCACAAACCAGGTCATCTGAAATGAGATTGCCAAGAAAATGACTACAGAAAGTAGTACCACATGTTTATTATTTTGTTGTACCTTTTTTATATTTAAACATTAGATGTCTGTTTTCCTAATTTTTTAGGAAAGTGAGGCTATGCTTAAACGCTTGGAAGCCTTTGATATGAGCATACAGACCACAACTAAGAATAAGCTGGGTCGATAGAATTAGAAATGAGGAGGTCCTTAGACGGCTAAACCAAACAACACAACTGGTCAACATAATACAGAGACGCAAACTGGAAAACTTCGTTCACATTGAGACGCCCTGAAAAATATTTTGCATCTAGTTATTTAGGAAAAGATCCAACGTAAACGTGGTCTTAGTAGAAGAACATCATGGCTGAAAATCTAAGACAATGGTACGAAAAACTGACTACATTATTATTTAGAGCTGCTATCAATTAAACCACGATAGAGAATATGGTAGCCAACAGGATATCCACCGATCCACAACGGTCATGGAATTAAAAAAGAAGTACTTTTATCCTGTATGCTTCAATCCCAAGGCATTTTTTGCAGTATTTAAATGTTTTATTACGACGATTGGATTTGAACCAGAATATATACGAATGTCTTCACATGTCTTCACAACATCTAAAAATAATATTTTAAACAGTATTTACCAAAGTACAAAAATTTTTGTCCACAAAAAACTGAAAAAGCTTAGAAGAATACTAAAACTTTATATAAAATATTTAAAATTCTCTATACATTGTATAAAAAGACCTTAAAATAACAGTGTCATTATTTTTGGACAATAAAAAGGTTCATTCTCTGATCACAATGATTCTCATTCTTATAAATGGTTTTTTATATACAATGTAGCTCTGGCAATTGAGGAAATAGTAATAAGTGAAGTTCATTTCGCACCTATTTATCAGTTTAAACACCAATTTACAGTAATAAAGTAAGCTTTTATTATTTTTATAGCCTACGCACTGCTTTCTCTTTAAAAAATTATATTCCCAGAAACTCTTAATGCACGTAACTGCATATTTACTACCGACAATTTTCTATTGTAAATAGTAACATTTTTGAGTAGGAGAAAACAATTCTAACTAATTATTAATATTACCGAGATTATCGGATTATGAAACACACAATGTTTAACTGTATTTTTTGTTTATACCTACTAATATGGGCACAAGGTAAACGATGCTTTGTTTGTGTACATTTCTTTAATGGTCGGTCATTATTTTTATTTTAGCTCTAGGGTGTAACAATTAAATTTAAAAAATATGTGGTTTTAGGAAGAGTTATAAAAAACTATAGACTTAGTATAAACGTAAAACTTATATACAGGGTGATTCAATGAAAAGTGAGTATTGATAGGGTAGATGAGAGATACTCCGGTGGTTCTAAATCACATATATATTTAGGATCTCTGACTGCTTATGACCAAGCTACGGACTTATTTATCCATTTTGTTCATTTCCTTGTCTATTAATTACATCCTAACCACACTGATATTGTTTTTATGTATTCATTATTATACAGTACCGATATGTATATTGAATATATATTTTTTCAAATGGTATATAAATTAAAGCTAAAATCCAGGTACGGACTTGAAAAAATTAAAAGTGATTACACAAGACCAAGAAGACCTCAGTTACATGGTAAAGAAACTACAAGAAGAATATACCAAGGCTCTCCAAGATATTAACCTCGCGAAAACGGTGTACCTATCTACAAGTGAAGAAGACATAGAAGATCTACAGATTAACGACAACGTAACAATCAAAGGAAAGGATAAATTTAAATACTTGGTAGTTATAATCACGAAAAAGGCAACAGCAATTCAACAACTTAACTCCTGGTCTATGTTGGGATAGACACCTTAATATAAAGACAAAAACACAGATTTATAAAAAATAGTGCGAAGTATGACTTATAGGGCTGAAAATTGGATTATAAACAAGAAAAATAACAGTAAGATAGTAGCAACAGAGATGGAATGCCTGTGAAGATGCTGCAGAGTAACAAGAATGGATAGGAGAAGGAATGACGAAAGAAAGCAAAGAACATCAATAGAAACAGACATACTAAATATAGAACAAAAAAGGCTAAAGTGGTAGGGACATGTAAGAACAACTAGCGACAGCAGATGGATAAAGAGAATAACCGAATGGAACCCCATCAGAAGGAGAAAAAGAGGACGACCCCAAAGATCCTGAAGGAACGAAGTAGACGACGACATGAGTAAGCGAGGCCTAAACGATGGAGAATGGGACAACAGAAAGAAATGGAAACGATTGAGCGAGGGAAGGCAGTGAATACTGTAGAATAGAATATTATTCTCATGAAATCTGTATTGCAAACATTTAAAACTTTGTTGGCACATTTGCTTCTCCACTATATTTTTATCTGGGTTTATCTGGTCGTTGTTTTCAGTGGTATTTATCTTCGGCGTTCTTCGTATTTGTTTATAGCATTGTAATATTCGGTTTTCTGTGTATTTAAAGTCTACATATCATACAATTGTTTTATTGCCACGTTTATAAACAATTAAATACATTGTCGAGCCGCCTCCCACTCATCTTAATGCTGTGACTCTATTTGGGATTTTCATTATTAAATTATTATTAAAATTTTGAGGTATTGTGTTCACAATTGTTTGCAATTCATTAGCTAATTGTTGTAAAGTTTGTGGTGACTGTAGCAGTGTATTTAAACATTGCCGCCCAAACGTTTTCGATACAATTCAGGTCCGGAGAACACGGCGGCCACTCCACGGTCATTATAGTCGATAAAACAAATTATAGCACCAACAAATGGCATCATTATTGGCCATATGATGCCGTTACGATTTCTTATAGCCGTCAGTCTTAATTATTAAAAATTATTGTCAGTGTGTCTATAATAACATGTGCCTCCTGATACAAATTGATCCGCCTCCAAAGAGAGTGGTTGAACCCATTAAATGTTCATTAAATTTTTTTCGTTCTCTCCAGATCAATATTCTTCGGTCAGACACATATAAACGGAGTCTTCATTCGTCAGAAAAGAGGCAATGTGTCTAGTCTTGGAAGCCCATTGACTGTTTCTTCGTGGGTGTGTAGCGCGACTAGAAATAACCCTTTCAGTATCCTGCCTGAATCCAGTATACTACTGGAATCCAAGAGCACAAATCGTAATAGATAACGGACCCAGATAAAGTCCAGAAATTGAAATTAGGAGAGGAGTTACGCAGAGATGTATTATGTCCCCATTACTATTTAATGTATATAGCGAAGCCATTTTTGAAGAAGCATTACTATCCAAAGTGAAGGAATAATAATTAACGGAAGATCTATTAACAACATAAGATATGCAGATGACACCGTGGTTATGGCAAGGTCTGCTGAACAACTCGAATTACTGCTAAACAATACAAACAGTTTCTGTAAAAAATATGGACTAAAAATGAATATAAAAAAGACCAAATACATGATAATAACAAAGGAAACAAATATACCAACAAACATACATTTGGAAAATGTACCAATAGAAAGGGTTGATAAATACAAATACCTAGGAACCTGGATTTCAGACTATAATGATCAAACAACCGAAATAACAGCCAGGATAGAAATAGCAAGAAATGCGTTAGTAAAAATGAAAACAATTCTCTGCAACAAAGACCTTAGATTAGATCTGAGAGTAAGAGCACTGAGATGCTACTTGTTTTCGATACTGCAATATGGACTTGAAAGCTGGACATTGAAGCGAGAACACATAAATAAGTAACAATCCTTTGAAATGTGGTATTACATTAGGATGCTTAGAATAACATGGAGACAGAAGAAAACTAACACGAAGTATTGTGAAAAATGGTCAAAGAATGCGAAATAATAAACACAATAAAAATAAGAAAGTTACAATATCTGGGACACGTAATGAGGGGACAGTGATATGAACTGCTAAGGCTGAAAATACAGGGAAAGATGAGATGAGGAAGGAGTATAGGAAGAAGGAGAGTGTCATTGTTGAAGAATTATGGGACTTGTTTAAATGCAGTTCTATAGACTATAACTCTTCAGAGCAGCAGTAGATAGAGTAAAGATAGTGATGATGATATCCAACCTCCGATTGGGAGACGGCAGAAAGAAGAAGAATCTTGCCTGAACAAGCTATTAATCCTGGACACTGTGTATGTCCTGCTTCTTCTTGCATGATGACTGAAACGATCTCGAGCATAAGTTGTGGCTCTTGCCCGTCATCTTCCATATGTATGTGCTGTACCTGTAGTGTCCCTAAATAGCGATTCTATATTATATTCGCCTTTCAATAGTCTGGGACACATTCAGTCGCATAACCATTTCCACATAAGCCAACTTTCCTATATCCATCGCACTAGCTGGAGATAAGTTGCATTTCCTATGTCCAGTGTAGAGTCTGTGCAACACAGTCTCTCAGGCTATCAATTTTGTTCAATATTTTTTAAGACAAAATTACGAAAAATAAAAATATCCACTTCAGTTGTTGAGCAGTGTATAAGCAATTCAGGTGTTATTTTTCCGCCTTCATTGCGATTTAACGTAGTGCATCTTCAACACCTTTTATCGATATCTGTGTTGCATGCTCAATAGGTATGATGCCTTCTTGAATAGACTCGAGCCTGATTTTTTGAGATAGCTGCTCTATAGAGTGGGTTTCCATTTGTTGGTATTTTTGTTTAAATATAAGAACCTTGTTTCGTATTGTAAGTATTTCATATTTGTATCCTAAATTTGAATCTATATATTCACAAGTATGATCACCATGTTATTGACTCTTTTTAAAGTTTTGTTTTACTTTTTATTTGATCTCTCGGTATTCTTGGGTTGTGTCCGGTTTGATAGTCAGTCATTTCTCATGACGTTTTGTTCGTTTCGTAAATTAGAGCTCTTTACTATTCTCCAATGTATCCAAAAAATAAACAAGCCATAGGCAACCTTCAATAAATAATTTACGCGTTATCGTTCACTGGTTTACAATGTTTTTCTGTTTAAATGCCG